AAAATTGATGCTTGCAACAATCCTTTACCAAGAAATACGTTTAGGATAAAATTTTGAAAAATGGGCGTGGCACCGCCCACTTATGATCACATATATGTATCTCGGTAACCGTTCTACCAATTTGTACCAAACTCAGTGTGGTTATTATGCCTGGCACATAGAAGCAAAACGTTGAAAATTATTGAAATCGAACTTAAATTACGGCCGCTTTTCATATAACAGTAAATTTCAGAAATGCTTGAAACTTCAATATTTCGAAATTTAAGGACGCTAATTTACCATGTAGCGGTAGCTTTCGGAAAGGTGAAAAACATACATATATTTAATACTTGCGCCGGGTATTTAATGTTCGGCTCCGCCCGAACTTAGACTTTCCTACTTGTTTGATTTTAGCTTTGCTTGATTATTCGTGAGCAACGTAGTATTTTTTGTAGAAAGAATACAACTTTGCGAGGGTTGTAATTTTGTGGTATTCTCATTGTGAAAGGGCATTTCGCACTGAACATATTTTTCGCGCGATTTAAGCCAAAAATTTATACCGCAAGTTTTGATGCAATTTATAAGCAATTTTTGCATTATTTTTGCATTTTTATATTTATGTATTGTTCTACTGAAACATATGATTTGATTTGATCTTGCTTGCTTGTACCGATTTTGTGTCGCTCCATCACAACCCCTTTGAATATAGCAAACATATGACAAGAGTTAACGGACTCTGATTTTACAACGTTTTCAAGTGCCAGACAAAGCCTTTTTAATGTGTGATCAATTAACGACTGTAAACGAACTTCAGCGAATGATTCAGTGATGGTTATGTTTTCTGGATAACATAACTTCTTTGCGGCTTTTACCATTTCATATGAAGGATATTTGTTCGAGCTACCCTGTCCGCCATACTTTCTTATTACATTGTACCTCTCAGTTGATAAATCAGCATCTATAATCAGCGCAAGGGCTTCATCTGGAGGGTACCGTTTTGGAACAGCACTTTTAATTCTACATTTCTTCATAACAGTACCTCTTTCTGGAGAGGCGTTAAATAGTTCTTTTACAATTCCGGCAGAGTCTCGTTTACCTGCAGATCGGATTTTCATTTCAGCTGCCATAAAGAGCTGTTCATTACATGCATTTCTTCCTAGCTCTATTGCTTTTCTAGCTTTTGTCCGTGAAGAACAATCATTGAAATCTTTAGTTGGCCTACGAGCAGTTCCTTTGTCCCTCGATTTTATTATTATTGACGGTATGCATATTTTTGTCTTTAGCCATTCACTATTATTGTCTAAAAATCGTTTTTTTACCCTATATGCTTTAACCCACCTGTCTTTAAAATTTTGACTTAAACGCTCACAAAACACAACAAGTTTTTCGACATCAATTTTTGTGTGTGAGCCACTGCTTATGTTACTCCTCATATGTTCAATAATAGAAGCACAGCGATCTTTTTCAACAGTA